AACCCCAGGACCCTGGAGCCCCCCACCCTCCCCAACAGCAGGGCCTCAAGGGCAGGCAGCCCAGCAGCTTTGGGATTTGGGGGGGCAGGGGAAACCCCAGACGTAGGGAGAGAACACCAGCACAGCTCCTCAAATGGGTCTTTCCACTCCAGGGAGGCAGCGAGGACACAGGGAGCCGCCACCACGAGGAAGCCCCTCTCTGGTCACCGTTTCTGGGGACAGAGCAGCAAAGCCAAGACTGTCACCGGCCTGAGCGTCACCGCGTCCCGGCAGGAACCGAAAAGAACAAACCTGCGGTGAGCACGGGGCACAGCCCTGTCCCGAGTGCCCCAAAGCACTCTTGCCCCAGATCTTGCAAGAAACAGGGACGTGCACCCACCTGGGGTGCCCCTTCAGCTCCTCGCCAGCTCCCTTCCCAGCTGCCAGCCCCACAAACCAGGGCAAGAGCGCGACTGCATCGCACTGGGGTGCAGCGAGATGAAACTTGGCCCCTTCAGAATCCTTCCCCGGCCCCAAGGAATGCGTTCTTGTCAGGAAGTGAATTCTTGGCACAGGGAGCAATAACAGAGGCGAGTTCGGCCGGCTCCGGCAGCTTGGGGCAGCGCCCAGCACATATTTTCCCAGCAGTGCCAAGCTTTAAAGCACAAACAAACACACCGGCACATACTTGGCACCAGGCTGGGACAGCACGTCCCTTTGCAGACACGGGGCCCTGGCCCTCGCTGCGGGGTGGGCTTGGGAGGCTGTGGAACGGCCAGCTCCGGGGGGATGACGCAGCGCGGAGGCTCCAGGGAGGGTCAGGGGGTTCCTTTGATCAGCGGCCCACCCCGGTGACACCATGGGCTGGGCTGTTGAACTCTAGGAAGGAAAGGTGTGACGTCGAGGTCAAAAACCCCGGAGTCGAAGCCTCTGGGGTGGCTGTCAGCGGGGAGAGGGAGCCGCAGAGGGGTGGGGTGGGAGGACATCACACCCCACTGCTGTGGGGCAGCCCTGACCCCTGGGGAAGGCACCAGGACCCCCTGCCCCACAGCACGGAGCAGGGGCAGGGGTTTGTTTTGAAGGCAGGAGGATAAAAACCACCTCCCCCCGTGCTGCCCCCCAGGTCTCTCAACAGTGAGACATGGTGCTGCCCGGCCCCTGCAGCTGCACGAGGGGACAGACCCCCGAGACCCCACGTACCCCCATCGCTGGGCAACGGCCACCCTGCACCCCACACCCACCCCACAGCCACCTTCTTGCCCTCCTCCCTGGTGATGGGACAGCCCCAACACCCCACAGCCCCACTGCTGGGGGACAGCTCTCCCTACACCCGGGGATGAACCCCATGTACACCCCACGGCTCCACTGCTGGGAGGCAGCCCCATGCAGCCCCCAGAGAAGGGGGCCACACTACTCACATATCAGGGGTGAGGGGGAGATGTTGTTCAGCAGTAGATGAAATAAGCCGAGGGAGGAGGAGGAAGAAAGGGGCAGGGCCATCGAGCAATTTTGCTGAGGCCGGTTGGGGTCCCTCCAGACGCCCTCTCCCACCCAGTGCCCATCCCTGGGGTGCAGGAGCAGGGTCACACTTGCACTCCCCTCCCTACCTCAACGAAACCCCACGTGGGCTTGGCGAGCCCCATCCCACCCCACAGCTGCACTTCGATGGCCTTGCTCAGGCTGCACAAGTCCCTCAGACACCCCGAGAGCTGGTGCTAAACGCGTCTTTCCTCCCGCTGGCTCACCCCAGCAGCAGAGGATGAGAAAGCGCACGCCTCCGAGATCCGAGGCGGTTCCCACTTCACCCCTTCCCGTGAGAGGCAGGCAGTGGGGCAGACGGCATCATCCCCCGCTCGCTGCGGCCCTGGGGGTGGGATGGAAACAACCCTGCTCCGTGGCCATTACCCTTGTATGGAATTGCTCTTGCCGGTTCTCTTCCTGCGTCGTCACAGTCGCTTCCCCCTCCTGCGCAAGCACGCCTGGCATTTCCGGAAAACCAGGGAAAGACGTGGTTTGAGAGCCGGCCCCTTCCTCTGCCCCCCTCACCACAGGGGCAGCCCCCAAGCTGCAGTGCCCCTTTGCATTCCTCACTACAGTGCCGCTTTTTCTTAAAAAAAAAAAAAAAAAAAAAAAAAAAAA